GTTCGGAAACTCGAAAGGACCATTGATGAAATCAAGCGTTCGCCCCCAACATCTCAGCTTAGAGAGTTTGAGTTTTTGCGGCGTCGGCGTAGGCTTCAACAGCACCTTGTAGAAGAAAGGGAAGATGTCAATGCCCGCTCAATCGAGTTGTCAGAGAAGCCAAAAGCTTGGAAGAGAAAAGAACCCCAACGAGAGGCCAAATGCTCATGCCAATCCTGCCAAAGCAGCTCCTGCAAAAGAAGCCCCGGCCGCTGTTGCAGATGTTTCTTCGAAAGGGGATGCAAAAGGCAAAGCAAAAGAAGAGAAAGGAAAAGGGAAAGATGGTAAGGGTAAAGGTAAGGGTTCGTCAAGGGAAGATAAAGCAAAGACGCCTTGTGTTTTCTTTCAGATGCCGTCAGGTTGTGTTCATGGAAGCTCATGTGCTTATTTGCACGAAGAGGTGAAAGCTGAGAGTTCACCAGGGCTGAAGGCTGAGCCGAAGCCCAAGCCCAAGACATCGCCCAAGCCTGCTTGCAAAGGCAAAGTGATGGCTGCAGTTGCCATTGTCGCTGCATTGTCATCCATGGCCATGCCGGCTGAAGGATGTCTCGAGTTCGCTGCCGACACCGGTGCCGGTCGTCATCTTGTTTCCTTGCAAGCTTTGGAGCGTCAGGGGATCCATCATGATTTTTTCGATCGGTTCGTGGTCCCGTCAAGTGAGAGCCTAAGGTTCACCACAGGTGGAGGCAATCGCGATTCGAGTGATGCCATTGGCTTGAAAGACAAAGAGGAGGGAGTTTTCAAAGAAGCCAATCATTTCGTGTTGGAGTCATGTCCATTTGTTCGTTTGGTGGGTCTTGACATCAGCTCGGGGATGGGTTTTCTTTGGTTGCCAAATCAGTTGCCATGTTACATCAAGGACTGTTCAAAGTTCCAGTACAAACCCAATGAAGAGAATCGAATCAGGGCCACCAGGGTTGAGCTAACGTTCCTTATTTTGCTAGGTCTTTTGACTTCGTCCCCGGAATGCCTGGAGAGGTGCTTGATGATGTAGAGTACACTCCGACTGTCCTTTCCGGGCGAGGAGGAGGTTCCCATATGCCCTCCGCCCTCTGAGAGCGATGATGAAGAAAGAGTGAGTGGCGGCGTGGCCGCATTGCTTGACATTACGCGTGATGCATTGTCTTGCAACGCTCCGGAGGAACCGGCGCAGGAAATTTTTGCTGCTGCTGCGGCCACTGCCGTTGGCAAGCCACAGCGGGTACAAAGCCAAGTCCACGCGTCTCCTGGTGGACATTTTTTGTTTGAATTTGCCTGCGCCGCAGACTCTTCTCTTGGAAGAATTGGTGAGGAACTTGGAGTTCAAGTTGTTTTGTAAAGAGCACATCGACCTTTCTAGGGAAGCAAGCATTGATCATGAACAGGTGAAGGCCATCCCTGCTTGTTCGATTCATGGATCCATTGAATGCGGTCCTTGGGGTGCTTGGGAAAGGTTGAATGAGGCAAAGAACCCTCGACTCACTAGCATCCTTCGAGAGAAACGGAGAGAGAGAGTATAGTAATGATGCGTTCGTTCATCAGGGTTGCAAACCATGTTTTGGACAATGGTGGTTTTGTTTCGTTCAATTGGCCCCGTTACTGCTCAGGATGTCTGAACCATTGGCATCTTGGATCACGCTTAGGCAGTTGTTCTCAGCCACCTTTGATGAGTGTACTGTAGGAGTGAAGGCCAAGGACGATCAGCCTGCCAGAAAGCCATGGAGATTTGTAACCAACAACGTAAGATTAGCAGAATCATTGGGTAAGCTTGAGTGCACACATGATCGTCGTGCTCCCCTTCAAAGGAAGTATACTAGGAACTCAGCCTTTTACCCTGATCCCTTGTGTAGATTGATGCTCAGCGCTCTGTTTCGGCATTTGATCAATGGCCAGGTTCCGACCACGCCAAATGTGTCAACATGTAGTGAAAGGCATGCCATGTGTTCCCATTGCTGTCATGATGCATGAGAGTTGTCTCAAAGAGTTTTTCACACCCACATTCGTGCACCATCTGCTTGACAGAGAAGAGTGGAAGGGACATCCTGAAGTTTTTGAGGCAATTGGCAATGAAAAGAGCGGCCCGTTGCTCGAAAGCACTTGGTTGGAAGAGGAAATTCGCTCGAAAGCCGATGTGATCAAGGAATTTCCAAATGAAACGTTGCATTTTGGGGCGCTCATGGTCATTGTTGGCATCAAGGGTTATGAAAAAGATCCTTCCAAATGGAAGATCAAAGCCTGAATTGGGCTTAGAGGTGATGCAGTAAGGGATCAGGGGGACTAAGCGCCATCTTCCAAGATCTTGCAGCCTCCGCTCCAAGCTCAATTGCAGCGTTGAACACTGTGGTTGCCTTTTCCATGATTGAAGGCAACACGCGCTCGAGGAACAAAGCGCAGGACTTTCGTCATGTCCCTCCGTCAAAGAAGCACATTCACCAGCCATGTGCGCAGCTCTACAAGAGCCTGTAGGCGCCCAGAATCATCCGCCCACTGGCAAGCTCATGTGTCAAAGATTTTCCACGAGAAGTTAAACGGGATTGAATTCCCAGATATGCCATCTCCGTTCCACTTTGGCCAAGCCCTGCTCATGTCAGTATACGTCGGTGATTTGACGCTGTCAGGGGTGAAGTCAAAACATGGTGAGTTCTGGCGCGCACTAAGTGAATACGTAAACCTAGACCCTCCAAATGAGTTCGGAAGGGTGCTCGGACGGAATCATCGCCTTGTTTGGATGGATGGTAAGAAAACACTAGCTTTAGAGTCTTCGTTTTTTGCTAAGCAACGTGTCCAGCTCTGTGGCGAACAAGCCAATCAAGAGCTATGCATCTCCTTGTTGGGATGAAGGCTCGCTCATTGCGTCAGATGATGAACCCCGTGGTCAACGTGCACCTCATGCAGCTAAGCTGGTCATGAAACTAATGTGGTTACGCAGGATACCCCGGCCTGATGTTATGTTCATTATAAACCTTCTTGCGAAGCATATCGCCACATGGTCTGTTAAGACCGGAGAGCCGCTCGCTGGATAGGTTACCTGCAGCTCACTCATGAGTATGCGCGTGTCATGTCAATCCAGGACGCTCCTGATATGCTATAAGCATTTCATTGTTCTGCGATGCAGACTTTGCAGGATGTCCGAACCATGAAGTCCACGTCGGGGTATGTTCTTGCCTTGACCGGACCGTCAAGCTTCGCCTTGCTAAGCTGGGGGAGCAAAAGACAGAGTGTGGTATCACGGTCCACGACTGAAAGTGAATTCGTGTCCCTCTCTACATCATTGTTTTCTGAAGCGCTGCCGACTCTTCATGTTTGGCAGACTCTCATTCCATCGACCAGGCTCGCAATCTTTGAGGATAACTCAGCAGTGACTGCCATCATCGCCAAGGGATACTCAGCTAAGCTTCGTCACTTGGCAAAGACGCGCAGAGTTAATGTTGCGTCAACCTGTGAGGTGGTCAATGGGTCAGAAGACATTGATATCAGTCACACAGACACTTCGATGCAACGAGGAGACGTCCTCACGAAGGGTCTGTCATGTTAAAAGTGGCCTGCCGCGTTGAAACTGTTGCAGTATGCCACGAAGCCCTTGCCTTCGTATGTTCCGGGTAAGGACTAAGTCCTCTAAGAGGCCGTAGCTAAGCTGCGTAACTGCATAGCTCAAACTGAGTCTTGAGGGATGCTCAAATGAAACACTTGCCTTTGGATGAGCCAGGTAAGTACTAAGTCCTCTAAGAGGCCATAGCTAAGCTATGAACCGCATACAAAAGATCAAAAGATAGCTTCAGAATGCAATAGTTGTTCAATAAACTTAGTTTTGATAGTTTTTGTATGCTTTCGTTTGCGTTTGGGACTCCTCACAACAGGTAGAAGCAGGATCGAGACCTGTAGAAGCAGGAAATCACTAAAGAATGGCTAGGACTGACCCCCTCCATGTGAAATTCATGGGGGGTCCAACGAGTATATAGCTGGATCAGATTGGGTTGGGATGCATTTTTTAAAAGTCCAGTTCAAGTGCATTTTGTCTCAAGATGTTGCAAGGCACTTCCAAAACTGGAAATATGCAGCATTTACCGCAAGTGCCCTGCAGGTCGCAGACATCAAATACGTGTGCACACACAGTGGCAAGGGTTTCCGACAGTCACAGACGAGAAGTGACCGCCCTTGTGCTTGATTGTGGCTTGCGCATGCCGCCTTGTCAACCTTGAAATTTGCATATGGCTGTATTGCAAGCGGTGCACTTCAAGCATCAGGTATGCGGCGCATTCTGTTGTGGTCCACCAAGAACCAAAAAAGAGCAACCGCTCAGAGAGTACCTTGTGAAACTTTTTTGGGCAGCTGCAGCAAGCCACTACTAGGACTCTCTGTGATCTTCCTTTTGGCTCTGAGAGTGTCGCCGAAAAATTTGCAGTACCTCAGCAGAGCATCAAACCTCCAAACCTGTTGAAGGAAATCTAGGATATTTGGATATACATTCTGAGTGATTGGGCCTAGTTGTGTAGAAATAGACATCGGAGACATCGGTTTCACTTCCGACAGTGGTCGCAGTCTCAGCATCAAGCGGTAGATTTGAGTTGACAGTCTCGACTGCCCACTCCAGATCGACCAAGGTATGAAGCCAAACTTGGCGCTGTGCTGAATGTTGTTTGAGCAAAAACACTTGCTTCCGGTATAAATGTTATATATATATACTTATTTAAGAAGAAACGTATATACGCAGTATAATGATATGTTTATATATATAAATATCAGAAAATAGACTGGGGTTAGTCTTTGAAGAGGAGAGTTTAGGAGAGGTAAGAGGTTGCAAGGGTAGCTGTTAAGTAGGCCGCTACGAGTACAGCATCGATGCAGAAGAGCTCAGGCTTCCATGAAGAAACCCTTGCATCAGGCTTCCTTGAGTTCCCTCGGGTTCCTTTGGGCTCCTAAGGAAATCGAGGGAAACCTAACGTTTATGTCGACTTTGTCTAGTTGAGTGGGGTCAAGGTGCAATGCCCAAAACTGAGGTAGCCAACAAAGCATGTGCAGCTCGTGTGCGACAACGCGAACAAGAAATGATGAAGACTCGCATAAGGAACATGAAGCCGCAGGCCATTTGCTTTAGCTGGCGCAATGCGATTGTTCTGGCGACTTTGCACTGTTTGCACTCCTCAGATTGATACGCGCCCGCCGGAAACCATGGCGCTCGACCATGTGCGGAACAACCTGAAGAGGGTGCGGAGCAGCTGTATTATCTCACAGTTGGGACTCTTGACCCACTGGAACTGACTAGTGTGCAGAATGACAGGACAAACAGGACAAGTCACAAGTAGGGTCAAGTGCCAGGAGCAGCTTCTAGAAGAGAGGCCAACTCTTTTTTTTTCCTTCTTCTTCTTCTTCTCCTTCTCCTCCCTCTAGCACTTCTTGTAGTGCTATTGTTTGGTCTAGTCTAATAACACTTCTTGCTACTTTTTGCTCTTGTCGAGTCTTCAACAGCAACCACTCGTGCTTGTTGCCTCACAGGTACCATGCAATCGATCGTGACAATCGAATTCTCCTTCAGAAGATGCAGGGAATCTCAGTGTTCTTGCAGCATGAACCTGTGTGCATTTTGTTTGAAGATGAAGATGGGACTGAGCTGCCCACCTTCACTTGAGCAATAGGCGAAACTGTTCATGTAAGAGTTTAACGATGTAGGTTAACCAAAACCCTGAAAAGCGATACAGTGAACTACCAAAATCGATAACTTGAATTATGACTTCATGTTCCACTTGCAACAAGTTGAGCATGATTGCCTCAATAAGTTCCACAACGCGGGCGCATGCGACGAAGCTAGTGGACTGGGTGGTCAAAGGCAAACTGTTTGCACCATTGGCTCGCTACGCGCAAGGAAGCTATGGTACTGACTGGCCACAGGCAAGTTGTTTGCGCTCGTGGCAGGCTGCGCAACGCTCCCTTTGTTTCTGCAGCCTCCTGTGCAAGGCTTCCTCGCTCGGTTTCCGACAAAGATCCTAGTCGTTGATCGATAACCAAGTCGATACAGAAACGATAACCGCTTGTTGCGCAAATGCCGTTGTGGTCACCTCCCCACTTAGGTGACGAACATTGAAGCCAAAGTTCTCACAAGTTCGCATGGGTCATGTGGAAGACAGGTTGGCAACATCCCCCTTGGCGAAGCAGTCAGTGCATTGGTACTGACAAACATGTTTGACCATGAAATTTCGTTCTACAACGGCACGCAACTGCTAGAAAGGGGCCGGCTCCTTTGACAAGAGCTGCTTGTCGGCTGCTGCCAAGCTTCCGTTTGACACAACTGATATAACATTTGCCCACATGTCAAAAGCTGCGAGGGATATCGTTATGTACCCAAACCACTCAGAACCCCGCAAGACGATATAGCGAAGTACCAGAATCGAGAGCCGCGCACAGAAGGTCCGTAGTTTGCCTGGAGGCTTTGCCGTTCGCTCACTTGTCGTGAGTGTCTTTCAAGCGAAGCCTAAAGAAGAACGATGATGGCAGATGTGCCTTGTGACTTGTGGTCGCTTTGGGGGTGGTTTGTTGGGACTGGCCTGCAGTGGACGTCCACGCGAAGTAGTTGAAGAGTTCAATCTTGGTTGATACTTACTCACTCCCAGCAGGAAGCCCTGAGAAGGGAAACCCTTCAAAACACTTGGGGATCCTCGTGCACATCAGGCCAGCTGGATGATGGGTTAGCGTGGCCAGACCCATATCTTTGTTGGAAAGCACACTCCCCCAATTAACAAAGATACACAGGGCGCAAGCAGGAAGCAAAACACACCTACAAGTAGAAGGGTGCAGTTGGATAAAAAATCGAAAGGCACACCAGGAACTAGAGGGCAACAAAAAATGGCTGTGGTCTTCTATATAAATAAACGCATCCATTTCTCTGTGTCCGACACAGGATTGGGAATGTTTTGACCTCTGCAAGGTACATGTTACCACGACAGACGACGGCGACGACAGCTACAACAGCAACAACAACACCAATGATGTGACACCATGTGACACCAACATTAAACAGCAACAAAACATGCTGCATCAGAGAACTAACGCAGTGGTATCCACCTAATATTCCTTGGGAACGCTATGCCACCTGCAAAACTGCAACCAACGATGGGCAAGCGACTCTTGTTTTGTTGGTGCTCCCTGTATCGATTCTCCCAGAAGGGACGATGACAAAGGCATAAATCAGATGATTCTCAATTAGTAGCCTCAGCAGAAGAGATTTATATATATATACATTATATGAGGGCCGTCCGTTATTGCCAGTGAAGGAATTTCGATCAACTGTTAAAACAAACATGTCGCGAAAGGGAAACTGCAGTCCGCGAAAGGCCGGCGATAGGACAGCGAAAGACATGTGCCAACCTAGACTTACATACAATGTGCATAATACATGACACATCCTTTTTCCCGAACAGAAACACGGATTTTCGCGAAAGGGCTGCGAAAGGCCGGCGGTAGGCCCGCGAAAGAGCGCATTGCCTGGAAGGGCATTTGCCCATCCATGGCCTTGAAATAAGCCTTGAAACTAAAAGGGATTTAGACGTCCAAACACTGTGAACTCAGTGCAATGGAACAAGCTCATCACAATGCGCGAAAGGAAAACCTGTGGTTTTTCTGCAAACGCGAAAGGGTCGCGAAAGGCCGGCGATACAAGCTCAAAAAGAAGAGCTTTGTTGGACAACCCCCATATACAGAGATATTTAGAGCATTGCTCACGATCTCCAAGTGTTTATGACTGTGGCCCGGACAAGTTTGGTGGCGGTTGATTTCGTTTCGGTGGTCGCCGGTGGCCGGTGGGCGGCGAAGGAAAATAGTCTATAGCTCATTCATAATGACAGGTTGATTCTGGACTGCTGTTGGCAGGGATGGGTTACGGTCACCAGGGATGGGATGGACACCAAGCAGCTCCTGGCCGCTGAATGTTTGTTCGCTTGAAGGTCCGATATCATGAAGACTCCCTCTGTGAAATCTGGAGCAGCCCGCCTCGCCCTTGGTTTGTGTGGGAACCTTTGGCTCTCGAATCCACTCAGCTAGGTTCTCACAGTGGGCCCGTGAGCCTTGTGCGGGATGCTCGAAAAGCAGAGCTCTCCCGGATCACCCAGGATTCCATTGTTTGACATGCGTGACATGCATCTTGTGTGTTGACGCAAAGCTTCCTTGCACAAGCTGATTTTCAAAAAAGAAAGCATGCTTTCAACATTTTTCAACTGTCTTGTGTCCTTGTCGAGGAGAACCACGCAATCCTTAGACGAATCCAGCAGGCAGGGTGCAAGGGCGCTTCATTTGAGACTTAGGTGGTGTCAACATGTGTCAACTACGTATGTGAGTGCGGCATCGTGCGGCGACATACCATGACTAGTTACTAGTGCCAGACATGCGATTGTACAAGAACAGACTTAATTGAAAGGAACTTCAGGGCGGGCTTCAACTATATAATCCATATAGGAAAGCAACTAAGGGGAGTGGTTTCGTTTAAAGATTCTTGGCAAGGGGAAAGCGGAAGCTGTGACAGGGATGTGGCATGTGGCATGACTCGGGTCGAGTTTCCTTTCGAGGTGTCCAGTAGCCTTATGTGGCCTTGAGGTTTCCAGGTCGAAGCAGCACATTGGCGAGGTATTTGCATAGGGGATCAGGGTGGGTCATGCGGTTTCTTTTCAAAGAGATACGTCAGGAGGGAGGTTGGCGGTTGGCGTTTTGGTTGCGCTGTAGGCATTTGTCCAACAGTGTCACAGGATGTGGGAATGTAGGATCCGGAACTGGCCTGGATTGATCATTGAATTGCGCGGCTGGCAAAGCTCTCCCTCCGGGCAATCAAGCCTGCTTGCATTGTCGCATTGAGCTAGCTCAGCAACGCCTGCAAAGAGCATTTTGGATTGTTATGTTTTGGTAAACCCAATCATAGCACCCAACCAATGAGCAATCAACATAGAAGCTCCCTATTGCAGCCATCCCCAAGAAATCAGGCAATTGTCAAAGCTTGCCTCCGAGTGTCGCATGCGATACCTCAACGGAACAACTCCAGGATAAACACCTAGGTGTCCATTGGGCATGCTGGTTGGCAGTGTTGGAACCAACTTAATAACATATATATATAACAACATCACGACATTTGATGTGGTTGAACAATCATTGCCTTTCTTCCTGATGATCTTAGTTGACCTGTTTGCTTTCACAAGTCTTGTTTCGCGTTCCTGCGTTTGACTTTCCATGAAGCTCCCTGAGGCACAACCCGTTTACAACCACACGGAATGGGACGATTCATATCGGCGGAGCTTGGTGTACATGAAGTGCAACCCACCGTGTTCTTGCAAATGTCAATGTATGTGAAGTCACAGCAAAGCGTGCCACATGTCCCTAAACTTGTGAATGTCCTTTCCGCAGCTGCTGAGCGTATATAGATTTTCCAAAATCCACATCAGTTTTGGCCGAACAAAAGGCGAGGCTCTATGCGTGTGTACGAAGTCGTCGTACAGATGGCTTTCGAGCTGCCACCAGGCAGTATGGCTTTCGAGCTGCCAAGCTTGCCAGTCATAGTGGCCGGTGGGCCACCGCCTGAAACGCACATAGCCCCATGCAAGGCGCAAGGTCGAATTCAGACAGTTCAGGGGTTTAGAAAGCTAAGCAGTGAATACGTGCTAGTAGTTTTGGATTCTATACGAACTTACATAGGACACCTGAAGAATGGACATGTGCAAACAGCTGCAGTGTACAAGACATGAGTTTCGCCTGCGCTTTTGAGGCTGGGAGGTCCGGCTGTGATGTTTAGTGCTTCGATCTCAGGAAGATCACGCTTGTGTTTCAATCTTGCAAAACGCACAATATAGATGCTAACAGAAGCAATCAGCAAGAGACCCTTCCGCAAAGCCAGATGAAGGAACGGGACCAAATTCACTGTTGTGATAGTTGAACATCCTGTACCATTCCCAGACCTTTCTTCATGATATGTTTGTTGTGGTGGCAACATCATGAACTCTCAACGAAAGTTTCAGAACCGCAACACTTTGCCAAAAGATCATAGGTCATAGGACACCTGTTTCAACATCTCACCAACATACCTTGCAAGTAGCAAGTCAAAGCCAGCACATGATGGAGCTCGAAAGAAGTTTCCAAAACAGTTCAGACACAAGGGTTGCGCAAGCATTCCCGAGACGCACGGAATCACCACACATGACAACCGGCTATGGCCATGTCTTTCAAGTGAATCACATTGTATATTAGTATATTGTATACAGCAAGCAGACGGTGGTATGCGCTAGTCAGTGTGTGTTGAAGGTTTCAACCTTTGTTCTCTGTATGTACATGTATATTCCCCAGTTAGCTGAAAGCTATAGGAGCTCTTGCTTCTCAGTGAGTGGGTGGCTGATTGGCGTTTTGGTCCACAGCTGCTTCTGCCATGTGTCTTCTCACTTGTCTCCGCACTCGTCTGTGTGTTCGGCGTTTTGTGTGCTGCTGCTGCTGCTTGCTGCTGCTGCTGGCTGCTGCTGCTTTGTCTCCCTACTTCTCTGCCCACTTTCTGCTTGTTTTTCGGCCTTTTGTGTGCCGCTGCTGCGCTGTTTGCCCACTGGCCTCCTTACATGTTGTTTAAACTTACTTTTGGAAAGACGGCGTGATGGAAATATAGATCTAGTGCCGGGGCGCAGCGGCAAGCAGATTGCGCAGCCAATAACGATCTGGTGTCGGTGCCCGCTGCGGGGCCCCGGCGGCTTCAATCAGAAACATGTACAGGACAGGAAAAGGATTACATGGCTTGTAGGATGCTTACAACCCCTTTGCACACTTGACTTGTACGCCCCTCGACCTCTCTGAACCTTCCTTTCACATTCTCTTCTGTTGAAACCTGTCTTCTTTTCTTAAGCCTCAAATCTCTTCTGCAACCTTTTGACCATTGAACAAGGTGTCCTTTTTTGTAAAATGTGTGTAACCTAAAGGTAACCCTGAGGCTGAACAAGGCAATGCCTGTGATGCTATTTTTTGCATGTTTCTCGATCTCTCTCGGCCTTCCTTTCAGACTCTCCTTTGTTGAAACCTCTCTTCTCCCCTTAGACCTCCAATCTTGCATTTCAAAATTACCTGACCTCCACTAGTGCCTCAAGTTCTCTTTACAAAGAACCTTAGAACAAGGGAAGTTCAAAGGATGCTGCGAAGATGATGTGCTCAAACTCCCACTCTGACCCCTATCGCCGTGGCTTGTCTAACTAGTGGCTCAAGTTTTTTGTGATTTCCCCAGATAGCTGAAAGCTACAGGGCTCCACCGCTGCCGCTGCTGCCTTGTCTCCCACTTGAGAGAGTCTAAAAACCCCCCATGTAAGAAATTGGTATGGAAAGTGCGTCTGCGTGGCGCCGTTGGGGAGCGCGAAACATGCCGGCGTGTCGCTGGCGAGCGGGATGATTGGCGGTCCATGTGCTTGCACAACAAGAGATACACCAAGGTTCGCACTCCTGAACCACAACGTTGCGCTGCCGTTTCATCTGCGCATCTACGTCTGCGCCCCCTCACCTCTGTACATTTACATCTTCACACGCTCACACCTGCAGATCTACCTCTCTACCTCCACACACTCACACATCTGCGCATCTATATCACACCTGCGCATCCACACTGTCACTCCTTCACATCCGCCCTCTCTTTCTCTCTTTCTACATATCTTTTCTCTTAATATAAAGGTGTCATGGCTCTTGGACAACTCGATTTTGACTATTTCCTTGCTCGGAAGTGCTTGACAATCGCCTGTCTCGCTCTCAGGCCAACCGTCGTCTAGTTGTTTTTAGGGTTAATTGCTTTCTGGAGCCTATGCAGGTGTAATCCACACCCATACACACACATATATATTACATTGTACATATTTACATATACCGCGGGTGAAAGATTCAAACTTCAGACTTGCGTCATTTGCTTGTCCAGGTGACACCCTTCCGGAATGGGCTGACGCTTGGTACGGGCCTCGAAACCGAAGATGCGCCGAGTCGCCGTCCGACGATATAAAAGGTGTGTGGAATGCCTGGTGCAAGCAAGGTGCAACCAGCTCTGCGAGTGCCATGGAGCTTTACAAGCAGGTGTGGGGACGTACTCACTTGGAGCCCACCTTGACAATTTGGCAGAGGGGACAGCGCTTCAGGGAAGAATCCCAACCAACCAAACAAACAAACTGGGACAGAGACGGGTCGCTGTTGGATGCGACATATGTGTGTGTGTCGCACTCCGTGTCCAGGAGTTTAATTTTTAAACTACAATCTGCAGTAGGCTATCCCTCTCACCAGTGGTGGATGGCCACCGAAGAGGCGAGGGCTGCAAACGTACCTGGTGATCTAATTAGGGCGACAGACGGAAATGGTACTCGACACGCTTGTGTGTCGGCGCCTTTCCTTCTGTTGTTCCTGTTCTGATTCTAGTCTAATCTACCCGGCGGTTTAAGACTAAAGTCCCGCTCCCTAACTATTGCGCGTAACCAAGAACCGCTAAGTAATCAGCAACTAGAGTGCTATGTATTCAGTAACTAGCTTATGAACTTTGTTCAACACTTCAAGTACGCTGACCCCTTCAACTTGCTGTTCCCTGGTTCCTGTCCCTGTGGATTATGACATTGGATGAACCTGTGACTAAGTGTGTATCGCTGTGTTTTCCCACTTGGGTGCACAGTGTGACCCTCTCGCAAGAGAGGCGCTAAAGCCTTCGTGAATCACATATCGACTTAGCGTTCTTGAGTTCTGGGATTATGGTTTACCTGAACTGTGTTCCACCAAATGAATCAACTGAACCATATGCCGTCGGGCTCGCGGATTAAATGCCGCCGGGCGTACGGAGAATGAACCCCCACCCCCAACCCCTCCCCTCTTTCCTTCTTGCGGTTTCTTCGTTTGTTAGGCGTTTCATCAGGCTTGTTAGGTTGTTCTTGAGGCTCGTTTCCCTACCCCTCGTTTTCGCTTTACTTCCAGTTCTAATTCGGGCACCAGAAGGAAATGGCGCTCGACACACTTGTGTGTTGGTGTACGTGACTTCTCAGGAATATGGTTACCTAGGTCGCCGTGTGGCAAGTGGCATTCAGTTCCGCGCGCCGCGCGCAATATCTCGAGTGTGTGTGGACACGCTGGAGTCACAGGTTTGCGGGAACTTGCAGTATTCTTGTGATTATTTTTTGTAGTTTGGAGCAGGGGTTGCTATAGGATGCATGCCGGCGCCAACGAAGACAACAGTGTTGCGTCATGTTGCATTGGCGATGTCAATCCAGGGTGGTGGAGCGCCCGCTTTAACTACTGAATGTTCCTTTCTCCGATGCTCGAACGTGAGGCACTGTTCTCGGTAGCGATGGGCTTGTCTACCACTTGCCTCGTTTTGTTATACTTGTAGCAAATTCACGTCCATCTTGTACATATTGTGTGGTTCCTTCGGAGATTTGATTTTCCCCTCCTTTTATGTCCTACCCGGAACAAGTTGGAATCGTGGTCTTGGCTTGGTGCTTCCATGTACTTAGGCCAGCAGACGTGCGTTTGTTATGTTACGTCTCAAGCTCTTTTGGAGCCTCTTGAATGGAATCCCATCGCCCACCCACACGCAAGTTGCCAGAGATTGCTCCAAATTTCAACTGTCCGCAAGTATGAGAACAATACTAACTTGGCGCAAACATCCAAATTCAATTGGGATGACTTGTTTGACAACCAGTGAGATGCCGCTATCAGCCGTGACAGCGCGCCAGTCGGAAACAAACATTGGGAGAAAAGAACAGCGCGCATCACCAGGCAACCAGCTCGTGTTCGAAGCCCCACCTTGTCGCAGTCGCAGGCAGTAACAACAAGCATGTCACCACCGGAACGAAATGTGGCAAACACCTGTAGAAAGCTTCCAGCCCGCGACCTACTAAACACCTGAGCTGAAAAAATCCCGTTCTAAAATCGTTATCCTAGCTTCAAATCACAGCAAATCCAAGCGGTGGCTTTCATGTAGACAACATCTGCTCATGTATATGGTTGTATGTTGCGCGTGCCCCTTTCATAGCTGCAGTCTGACTTACAGGTCGAAGGGTTCCAAATGTGAAGCTGAAAGTAGCAGTCCTCTTATATGCAACTTGCAGGAAGTTGTCAAGATATGACAAATGATTTTCCCATCGTTCTTCTCTCTACTTGCGCATACAAATCCCCCCACCCCAACTGCCCTTCTCGTCTTTTCACTCACTCTCATCACCCCAGCGCAACCCGCTTGCGTGTATGTCTCTAGTGTATTGAGTAGTAGCCCTGGTAAGCAGTTGGCCAAGCGGTCAAAGTTGCAAAGTGGTCTAGCGCGCATCTAGCGCGGGTCTAGCGCGGATCTAGCGCGCTCCCCTGCCGGTGCGTCAGGCCACCAACTGGCTGTCATCAAGAGCACGTGTTGCGGTCTGCCGGCTTTCCTATAGCTTTGAAATCGTTATACTATAGCTCTTCCACGCACAAAGAATCCGAAACACAATGGGAGCGTGCCCGCAGTATGGGTGTCGGTGGCCCCTGCTTACATAAACAATCACAACAAACCAGGCCGGGTTGTCCGTTCATACCTCAACAAGTTTAATTGCCAATGTGTGTATGTGTTGTTTGTTAATCTTACCTAAGTATTTGAACCTAGCGCCAGACCTAGCGCAACCCTGCATGTTTGCTAGTGCGACAAGGTAGCGTCTCCAAGTTAAGCAACAGAATACCAAGCGGTGGCCAAGCTATTTCTGAACCTCTGGGAACATTCCTTACTTAATACATATTACCGGGTTAATTTTTTCAACTCACCTGGCCTAAAATCTAGGCAGGTGAAGAGGCCAGAGTGGTGCCCAATGGAACGTCGCACAGTGCGCAAAGGCATGCTTCTTGGAAATTGAGCGGGCCTGATGAGCCCAGTCCCCGCTGGGTGGATCAAATCAGCAAGGGAAGTCCGCCCGCACCGAAGGTGCTCGGGGCATCCGGATGGCATAAACAACTGTAAGGTACAGGTTTACCTGAGCGGGGTCCCATTTTTTGGTGAAAACAATTGGGTTTTTGATAGGTCGCGACGGCGGACTTCAAAAAGCACTGTTTTTTACAGCGCGAAATGGACTAGTTCGCGCATGCGCCCGCCCGGAGCCGGCAAGATAAAAGTAAAAACACACTATGTTTTTTGATTTTTGGTCTTCGATTTTCGGCTTTGAGACGCGTATTTTTTTCCATGTGTCTTGTCGGGAGGTCGGGGGGCAGATTTTGTGATTTCGGAGCTGTTTGGGTGACGGCTTTCGCCGTTTTTGTTGGGCAGGAACATTGTTTTTTTATAGTGTTTTTGTACATTGCTGAGGCTTAAGTTCTTTGCGCAAAACTGCCAAAACCTCGCAAATAGCAGTGTTCTTGGCGACCATGTTGTTGAAAACGTCGCATATTTCTGTGTTTTTTTTGACAGCAGGTTCAAACACACTGTAAATAGCGGTGTTTTGGGCCACGGCAAGCTCAAAAACATCGCTATTTGCAGTGGTTTCTGCCTCACAGAGCACAAAAACACTGTAAAATACGGTACGTAGTGGCGTTTTTGGCAACGTCAACCTCCAAAACCTCGCTATTCGCCGTTTTTGTTGGGCAACTGCTTCATGGCGGTGCCGGCGGACCTTGCTGCGGAGCGGCGTGAATACACAGAGTATGTAAAGCTGAGGACTGAAAGTTTGAATGCCGTTTTGGAAAATACCAATGGTGATTTTCACAATTGGCGGCAATCTACTGACAGGGTTGCGCAACGGTGAGTTTGACAACACGGATAGAATGTCGTTGCGCCCTGTGAAGCCCATAAGAAGAACGACCCTTCCGACAGATCTAACAAATACAATGTCTTTGCGACGAATTATGTGTGTTGATATGAGTTCATCGCCAGCTTGCAAATGGTTCGGAATTGTCAAAACAATGCAAATGTAACACGCAAACAGGATAAAACCATTACCATCCAACTGTGTGTTAGGACGCATTCCAACCGTGTGTTCCATCCATCCATCCATCCATATCCTTTCCATCCATGTCCATCCATCCACCTACCACCCACCCATTTCCATCCATCTCCATCGATCCATGACCATCCACCCATCCATCCAACCAACCTTTTGAGGCATTCCATCTGTGATTTGCCGTGTCTTTTTCAATGTTTTTTACTGTTGCAGGCCATTGGGCACTGCCTAGAATCAGCCCAGAATCATCGCAGCATTCTAAGTGTACAATACATCACAAAACAGCAGGCAATAAGAAAGTGTCTCTCATGTTTTTCTAAAAAATACTACGTGAGCATTCTAACTGTCTTCGGTACGGCGTTCTATCTTACGTTGTGGAAATTTTGGAAAACCGCACGGCGTTCTAACTTTCAGTCCTCAACAAGGAAAATATATACATACATTTTCCATGTATGGTTTATGATCCATAATGTTAGATGAGTATTTGCGGGGTCATCCACAATTATGGTATTCAAAAATTCCAGAAAATCTAAATCAAATTTGATTTAGTACTCGACCAAAAAGGACCCATAATTAGCCTAGATCCACTAGCCCGATCCATAATTATAGAATTCACTCGCCAAAAAAAACACACGCAAAAGTTGCAACATGACTGCAGATTCCTTTCAAGCACACACACACAGAAGCTTTCAGGACAGAAAAAAGCACCTCTCTCCATTGTGGCTTGCTTGAGAATGCTTCCCTTTACATTTTTCTTTTAACAAAAGAAAGCACCGTAAAGGAAAATTTAAAAACATCCGAAACTATCGATTTCTAGTTAATCCCTTTGTAGAAAGCTTCACTTCAACAATCTTGCAAAGAGTACCCCTTATAAGTGCCAAGGGTCCACAATAGAAAGGGGATCCATAATTATTATAGCACCTCTCTCTGTTGAAGCTCCTGGTTTGCTTGAGAACGCTTTCCTTTACATTTAAAATCTCTTTTAACAAGCTAAAATATTCCAATTTCCGAAACTATCGATTTCTAGTTAAACCCTTTGCAACTCTTTAGTGACTTTAGTGTCTTGGGGAACAAGAGGGAACACTTTTATTGGCTTTTTGGGTGAAGTTAACTATGCACTTACGGCCCTACCCCGTTGCCCCA